CTGACTGTAGAGTGAAGAGAAGTCAAGGAAATGGGGACAGCATTGAAACAAATGTTTTCTTTTCTTTTTTCTTTTTTTTTTTTTTTGAGACGGAGTTTCGCTCTTGTTACCCAGGCGAAACAAATGTTTTCAATAAAATTTGCCATGATGGGAAGAACAAAACTAGGGCAGTAACTAGTAGTCATATGGGAATGTGTGTTCAAGGAAAGGATTGGGAGTTTTTCAAGATGAGGAGTCAAACAGTTAAATGCTGACAAAATGGAAATAGCATTTGCAGCACAGAAGAGAGGGGATGAGAGACAGCAGTAGAGAGTAATTAGAAGTCTCTAAGAAGATGTGAGGGGAGAGAAAGTAAAGCTCACTGGAGAATTTGCCAACACAGAATCCACCTATTCATCTGTTAGAGTTGTCATTTCTTTTTTGTTCTTTGATCCCAGAAGTCTGGAACACAGAGAGGAATACTCTGATAAAGATATCAAAAGCTATCCTGCTATGCATGATGTACCAGTCATCTTGATCATTTAACTATTAAAATGCTATGTTTAAGAAAATTATAGCTTATTATTTTTTATTTTCCTAAATGTATTTTAGTCACTAGGAGCTTTTCACAAACTTATACATGTAAGTAACTCAGTCACACTGATCTTGTATTAGTACCTTATTACGTTTTATCAGCTCTCTGTCCCAGTACAATGTAGGATGTCCACATTATATGGTTTGGTGTAGGTCCATATGCTCTTAAATTCTTTTTTCATGTATTTATTTTCTTAAAACTTTCAAAGTAGCTCATTTAGGAATGAGTATTTTAAAACACCAATGTTTTAGTTATTCTACTTAATATATTAATACTATGAAAAGAAGCCAATATACATTTTAGTTATCAGTTGAGTCATAATAACAAAGGATTTCTATTGTTTTTGTGGAAGTCACATGATGGGAAATGTCGGTATGAGGTTGGTGTCTGAGTGATAAAAACTGTCCCTAAAATCCATAGATATTATTTGATGTGGACTTTCCAGGCATCAGAATTCACTGACCCTGGTACAGAATGAGTTCATTCAGTCAAGGCATTTGCATTTGGGTTTTGAGAGCCAACTTTATCCCAGTGTGGGAATAGTTGGTCTTGGAATAATAGGTCATGCTCATTTACATTTTCTTACTTTAACAAGTATACTTTTACTTATTTCAGCTTTTATTTGAATGTATGTCAAAAGAAAAATAATCCCACAACAAAGAGGGAGAAAGTGTTAACCTAGTTTCTTTCCCTCTATCCCATAAAATACCATCAGTGCTTTCCCTTGGCTGACCTGAGCCCAAGGTAACATAATATAAAAGCCCTGTGTGATACCAAACAGAAAGTAGAAGAGATTCTGAGGAGCCAGGACTGGCTCAGAAATAAAATATTTTTTTGAGAGATAAAGGCAAAAATTACAAAGTCTCTGAAGCATAAAATGAAAAACACAGATGTCATTGTCATCATTATTATGTTATTCTTGAGCCAAATATTGTTGACTTGTTTACCTCATTTCCCTATCCAGTCTGTGCCAGGTTGTGTTGGTCACAGATGTCTTTATTTCCAATCTTTCAATCATGGCTAATGCTTTGAAATTTCAGGGAAGACTTCTGTTGGTTAAACTCTGACTCATTTAGTTCTTCCTGGAAATAAGAAACCCAATGATCTCTTTTTTGGTGATTCAATTACCTAAAAATAAATAATTTCTCTTTTAAAAAGATCAAGTTGTATCTTACAGGATTTGCAAAGAGGCATTTTTTAGTTCTCACATTATCTCATGCCCTAAATTTGGACTATGCTATGCTTTAAAATAATTTATCCACCTTTCTATATATTAAACAATAATTTATCACTAGTTTATTCTATCTACCAATATTTCTACTCTTTCTGTTCGTCTTTCTTGCTGCTTCAAAACTTTCCACCATTTTCATTTTGTTTCTGTGAGAACTTCTTTTAGCCTTTTCTAAAGTTTAGATCTGCTAGTAAAACATTCTTTTATTAGTTTTCCATCTTCTGATAATGTCATTATTTTCCATTTATTTCTAAATGCATCAAATTAGCGGTTCATAGTTCTTTCAGAACTTGAGAGATGTTATGGCACACCTTTATGGCCTCCCTGGTTTCAGATGAGAAATCTGCTATTATTTGAATAGCTATCTGTCTATAGGTAATTTTTCCCTGGCCTCTTTCAAGGTTATTCCATAGTCCTTTGTTTTCAGAAGTTTGATTATGATGTGTCTTGGTATGGATTTCTATGAGTTTATACAGTTGAACTTTGCTCAGCATCTTGAATATGTTGGCTTAAGGCCTTTCAACAAATTTGGGAAGTTTTGTTTGTATTCCTTTGGATATGCTCGACTCCACTCTGTCCTCTCCTTCTGGAATTCTGATGATATTAATGACGGATCTTTTCTTACTGTCCACAGGTCCCGGAGGCCCTGTGCTTTCTTTTTTTTTTTGTTTTTAGTCTATTTCCTCTCATTTGTTCAGGTTGGGTAAATTCTATTAATCTTTCCTCAAGTTTACATATTCTGTCTCCTATTATCTTCACTCTAATGCTGCCAGGTGCCTTGTTGTGACAGGACATCATTGCTGTTATCTGGTGCCCCACCCTAGTTATGTAATGTCTCCAAATGAAGTCCCATTGTGGAACGAGGACTCTTTCCCTGGCTTATTAGGGTCAGCATGGCATTTGGATCACTGATTCTCCTTGTTAGCTTTGTAGAATAACCTTGTATTGTTGAGTTTTGGAAAGGAATAAGCTTACCTTATCCACCATTGGTTGCTTGATCAGGAGGTGGAAAGTATGGGGCTTGGGTTGTCATCTGTTGGATGGGATTTTATAAGAGTTGTGCTTCTACACCATTCATCCAGTCCTGGACTCCCTACCCTTTTTCTTCCTCTTACTAACCCTACTTATCCTTGGTTTTCTCTTAAGTCATTTAAGGGGTTGACAGTTGTACTGAGAGGAAACGAGCAAGCAGAAAAAATTCTACACCATCTTATTTCAACTGAAATTACTTTGTCTCTAATTAAAACCAGCGGCTCCCAACTCTAAGCAATTTAGCTCTCATATACAGTTGCCAATGTCTGTAGACATTCCTAATTGTCACAACTTAGGGTAGTACTACCGGTATCAAGTGAATAGAGGCTGAAAGTGCTGCTAAGCATTGTACAATGCACAGGAGAGTTTCAAGCAGGAAAGAATTACCCAGTCCAAACGTCAGTAGTGCTGAAGCTGAGATAATTTAAACATCTAAGGAATAAAAAAAAAAGTTGGCTACTTTTCAAATCTGTTGCAGAGTTAGACATTGACATCATTTTTTTCCCTTCCTCTTAATAACCACTAGTTTTGCTGAAGAACTCTATCTTTCTAATATGCAAAAAGCCTTTCTAAATATATGCCTGAGGACTTGTCATTTTTAATTTTTAAAATGTCATTTGCTTTAATTTGATGCATTTATAAATCAAAAGGGTAGTTATTTTATAGCATGGCCTTGATACTATCTACAGTACACTCAGTCAAGAAAATTTTTTAAAAGCTACTAACATTTGCTCCTCCCATTACATTTCACACAATTATATGCACAAAGTGGTTTGGGGCTTTGGGCTTCATTAACATATCTTTTATTGTGCATGCTAAATATAATTTGGCATACACTTTAACATTTATTATTCTAGTATCATTTGATGTTCTAATTTACTCTCTGTGCCAGCATCTACTTTACCACTATTTTTTTTAAGAGTTGAGTAAAGATCCTGGAAACCTTGCTTTTTTAAACACTGCTACAGATTTGGGAACTCCTATAATCAAAGAACAACTTAGTGTGGCAGCTCATTACTGAACTGTGAGCTCTGCATATATTGAGTTACTGTGAAGAAATATTTGTACTTTATAGTCATAGACTTTATTCTTCCATCAGTGAGATCTAAAGTGGACTATCTGAATGTGGCTTACACTTCTTGACGATCTTCCTTTGCACAGAGGAATCTTCGTCAATCTCACTATATCTCTGCCCTTTAGGAGTGGTATGCTGGGGCCAATAAGCAGGCAGGTACTGCTTCTGAGTAAACAGCTCATCAAAAGTCTGAGAACAGAAGGTTTCAAATGTATCAAAGCAATTGGCACAGTTGTTCACTTGTTAATTAGGAACACAAAGGCACTTTCATCGAGCTGCCCAGACCAGGGGGCCATCTGCATGACAGCATTGCCTTTCTGATGATAGTGCAAATAGAGCTTAGCCAGAACTCTCCAGGGAAGGCTCACTGACCTTCCTGCTTTAAAATATATATAAAGCATATGGATGAAATAAAAAAAATGAATATAATCATAGAGTAAGCCCCATTTATAGTATTTAGTCTTCTGAAGAATTTCCTAGGGACTTACGTCCTGTTTATGTTAGTTTTGATAATTGCCTTCTTTTACTGCTACATATTTCAGTAATAGTTGTAATTATTCCCAGTCTATGGGTGTCAAGGCATTTCTAATGCAATAATGCATAATCTATTATAATTGCCTTTTAAGTCTTCTATTTTGTCCATTGTATGTAAGCTCTGTGAAGGGAGGAACCATGTCTATCTTGTTTAATTTTATGTTCCTGCTACCTAGTAGACTTGTGGAAAATAATCAAATAAGGTGATGTTAGTAAAGTTTTCTTTTTTTGAAATATAATGTGCTTAGTTCGCTCTGAATTCATGTATCTACATTTTTCTTTGTAAATAAGCATGTTAGTGTATCGAATTGTGTTATATAACAATGTTTTTGCCCCACACCACTTTTATATCTGAATGAGGTATAATGAGGTATATCTGAAAGCTATTGAAATGTCTTCTCTATTGTACTGATATGAAATGTTTAATATCACTTATCTCTGTTTATTCTAACCTCTTTTTTAAATATCTAAATTGCCGTCATCATAAACATCAGACGTTTATGCCAGAAAGATGCTGTATGAAGCCACTGTGTGTTTCCTTTCCTTGTTTACAGCTCAATCAATGACAATGAATGGAATCCTATTCCTAGGACTCTTCTAGCTCACTTACACATTTTCAAGAGACAAACAGAACCAATGCACTTGGATCATCACCTATTTCAGGTAACCTTTCAGCTTTCTTGGTAGAAGTAGATGCGTCTTCTCTGTGTCTCCACAGTTTTTAATATTTTAGTGATAGTCCTATGCATTTGTATGTCTATTTGTCCAAATGTATTTAGCTGACCCTTCACCAGTGGGTTAGAACTGCATGGGGCCCACTTATTGATAGATTTTTTTTTTCCCACAATAGAGTTGGCAGACCATATGGAGTTCTGCATCTGTAAACCCAGGACTTTGGGAGACCAAGGACGGAGGATCCAGATCACTTGAGACCAGAAGTTCTAGACCAGCTGGGCAACAACATAGTAAGACCAGTCTCTATAAAACACATTTAAAAATTCTTCTTTTAGAGATATTTCACTTTCTAGGTTAGGTAAATTGCTGGGTATTTTATTTTTTTGGAGCTATTGTAAAAGGAATTGAGTCCTTAATTTGATTTATAGCTTGGTTGTTATTGGTGTATAGCAGTGCTATTGATTTGTGTAGATTGACTTCGTAGTCTAAGACTTTACTGAATTCATTTATCAAATCTAGGAGTATTTTGGAGGGGTATTCAGGATTTTCTAGGTATAGGATTATATCATTGGCACACAGTGGTTGTTTGAATTTCTCTTTTCCAATTTGGATGCCCTTTATTTCTTTCTCTTGCCTGATTCATTTTGATAGAACTTCCAGTGCTAGGTTGAATAGAAGTGGTGAAAGTGAACATCCTTGTCTTGTTTCATTTTTTGGGGGAATGTTTCCAGCATTTTCTCATTCAGCATGATGTTATGGGTTCATCGTATACTGCTTTTATTATTTTGAGATATTTCTCTTCTATGCTTAGTCTGTTGAGGGTTTTCATTATAAAGGATGCTGGATTTTATTGAATGCTTTTTCTACATCTATTGAGATTATCGTATGGTTTGAAAAAAATCATAGCACAAACAAATGAAAACACAACTCACGTTCACATATTGGAAAAATTAATATCATGAAAATGACCATACTACCCAAATCAATCTACAGATTCAGTGCAATTCCCATCCAAATTCCAACATCATTTTTCACAGAATTAGAAAATACAATCCTAAAATTCATGTGAAACAAAAAAGAGCTGACATAGCCAAAGCAAAACTAAGCAAAAAGAACAAATCTGGAGGCATCATATTACCTGACTTCAAACTGTACTACAAGGCTACATAAATCAAAACAGCATGGTACTGGTACAAAAACAGACACATAGACCAATGGAACAGAATAGAGAGCCAATAAATAAATCCCAAATACAGCAAAACAATCCTCGAGAAAACATACAAAATATAAACTGGGGAAAGGGCACACTATTTTTTTTTTGGTGCTGAGAAAACTGTTAAGCCACATAAAGAAGAATAAGACTGGAATAAACCTTATACAAAAATCAACTCAAGATAGATCAAAGACTCAAACCAAAGATGTGAAACTTGAAAAATTCTGGAAGAAAACCCAGGAAATACTCTTCTGGACATTGCCTAGGAAAAGTATTCATGACTGGGACCTCAAAATCAAATGAAACAAAAATAAATATAAATAAATGGGACCTAATTAAACTAGAAAGCTTCTGTACAGCAAAAGAAATAATCAGCAGAGTAAACAGCTCACAGAGTGGAAGAAAATATTTGCAAACTATGCATTCAACAAAGGACATATATCCAGAATCTACAAGGAACCCAAATCAGTAAAAATAATAATCCCATCAAAATGTGGCAAATGACATGAATATACATTTTTCAAAGGAAGATACACAAATGACCAACAATCTTGTGAAAAATGATATTCAAGATAATTAATCATCAGGGACATGCAAATTAAAACCACAATGAGATACCTACCACCTTACCCCTGCAAGAATGGTCATTATTAAAAGGACAACAATATGAAAAAAACAATAGATGTTGTCATGGATGTGGTGAAAAGGGAATACCTATACACTGCTGGTGGGAATGTCAATTTGTACAACCTGTATAGAAAAGAGCATGATTTCCTAAAGCACTAAAAGTTGACCTACCATTCAATTCAGCAATCTCACTACTGACTACTCAAAGGAAAAAAGTCGTTATATCAAAGAGACAACTGTACAACTATGTTTATAGCAGCACAATTTACAACTGCAAAGACGTGGAACTAACCTAAGTGCTTATCAAACAATAAGTGGCTAAAGAAAATGTGATGTGTGTGTATATGTATATATATATGTATATATATGTGTGTATATGTGTGTATATGTATATATATATGTGTGTATATGTATATATGTGTGTATATATATATATACATATACACACACATACTATGGAATATTACTCAGCTATTTTATATATACATATTACACATGTATATATATACATACACACACACACACATTATGGAATACTACTCAGCTATTAAAAAGATTGAAATAATGTGTTTTGTAGTAACTTGGATGAAGCTGCAGGCCGTTATTCTAAGTGAAGTTACTCAGGAATGGAAACAAATACTGTATGTTCACATTTACAAGTAGGAACTAAGCCATTGGTAAGCAAAGGCATACAGGATGATTTAATGGGCTTTGGAAACTCAGAAGGGAGAGGGAGTGAGGAAGATAAGGGTTAAAAAACTACATATTTGTTACAATGTACACTACTTGGGTTATAACACTAATATCTCAGACTTTACCACTATATAATTAATCCATGTAACCAAAATCCACTTGTACTCCAAAAACTATTGAAATCAAAGTAATATTAAGAAAAAAATTAAAAACTGTCTAGGCATCATGGTGTATACTGTAGTCCTAGATACTTTGGAAGGCTAAGGTGAGAGGATCATTTGAAACTAGGGGTTCCTAGCTGCAGTAAGCTATAATCACACTACTGCACTCTGGCCTGAGTGACAGAGAGGGATCCTATATTTAAAAAATAATAATAATAAAGTAAATATAGTCTTTTCAGAATGTGACTTCATGGATAAGAAGGGCCATTTTTTTTTTCTGTAAGTGGGTTCCACAACAAAAACTGTAGAACTTGATTATGACTAGATTTTTGTATCCGACTTGTGTGTATGTGTGTGTGTCTTACCTGTCTGTTCCTGTAAAGAACAACTCAGGTTTTCTAGAACAAAATAGCCAATTAAAATAAACTCTAATTCAATCTCTTCAGTCATATCTGCTGTTATCTTTTGTCCTTTAGGAGTCATTTCTTCCTTTCTAAATCAATTAGGCACATGGCTCATATCTTTCCTTGTCATCAGCTTTTTGACTAGACTGATAATAATTATGGGATCTAGAGATCTTATTCTGTTCTGCATTAACAGTGTTTTATGAATACTAACTAAATACATAAATTAGTTAAATATATAGCTCTTTTCCATCCCTCCTTTCCTCCTTCTCTCCCTCCCTCCCTTCCTTCCTTCCTTCCTTTCTTCCTTCCTCTCTTTCTTTCTTCTTCTTCTCTGTGTGTGTGTGTGTGTGTGTGTGTGTGTGTGTGTGTGTGTTAGCGACATGGTCTTACAATGCTGCCCATGCTGGCCTGGAACTCCTAGCTCAAGTGATCCTCTGGTCTTAGCTTTCCCAATAGCTGGGACTATAGGCATATATTATGGCACTCAGCTTCCTTCTTCATTTTCTAACTTATTCTTTGAAAACTTTTTCCCTCCCTCCCTCCCTCCCTTCCTTTCTTCTCCTTCTTCTCTTCTTTCTTTCTTTTCTTGAAATATGACAGTTGTGTTAGGGTGTCCAAGATCACGTTCAACTTTAGTGATATACTAGATACACAGAACTCAGAGAAAGCTGTTATACTCACCGTTACAACTTATTGCAGCAAAAGGACACAAGCCAAAAAAATAAAAATAAAAAAAAAAAAATCAAGCAAATGAAAAAAAGCACATGGGCAAAGTTCAGGAGAAAATGGACGTAAGCTTCCAGGTGTTCCCAATCAGTGGAGTCATGTGAGAATGCAATTATGTCTCCCCAAAATAATATCTGACCATACCTGCAAAGTGGTACCAAACAGGGAGGCTCTACCAACACTTGCTGCCCAGGATTTTTATTTTTATTTTTATTTTATTATTATTTTTTTTTGAGACGGAGTTTCGCTCTTGTTACCCAGGCTGGAGTGCAATGGCGCGATCTCGGCTCACCGCAACCTCCGCCTCCTGGGCTCAGGCAATTCTCCTGCCTCAGCCTCCTGAGTAGCTGGGATTACAGGCACACGCCACCATGCCCAGCTAATTTTTTGCACCTTTAGTAGAGACGGGGTTTCACCATGTTGACCAGGATGGTCTCGATCTCTCGACCTCGTGATCCACCCGCCTCGGCCTCCCAAAGTGCTGGGATTACAGGCTTGAGCCACCGCGCCCGGCCTGCCCAGGATTTTTACTTAGGATCAGTCTAATAGACATGCCACACCCTCCAAACTGACCTCTGTTCTCAGGTTCCAGCGACTCAGCCTCCCTCTCCATAGACATTTATCAGAAATCACATTGTTAGTTAAACTTATTTGATCAAGCTGATACAGCATTACCCAAAGCCTCAGGCATATAAACACTGTCTTACCAAGCACAGAAGGGCTCGGAAGTCATTTCCCAAAAGTGCACCAAGGGCCCTTCCTGAAGATAGGCCTTTCTTTGGAATGTGCAGGTTCTGAGAAACACAGGCATGCTGATTAATTCTTTCTGTCCCACAGTTACTAGGTAAAATACACAAAGTGCACTAATTTTAGGGTAAGAGTTCGATAATTTTTTTACAAATTGTACAGCTATGCAATCATTATCTATATAAAGATACAGTTTATTCAAGTAATCTCAAAAGTGTCCTTTAACCCCTCTCTCAGAGGTTAATGTTGTTCTGATTTCTATCGCTGTTTATTACCACATTCAGGTAATAAAGGAAAAAAATCGTGATTATTTCAAAGCATGCAGAAAAAACACTTCATAAAATTCCAAAACAGAATTAAAAATAAAATTTGTTTTATTTTTTGTTTGTTTTATTACAATGCAGTTTTTCTTTGTATGAATATAATGTGATCTATTTAATCTTGATCTTTTTCATAAAGTTTAGAATTATTTGAGTATGAAACTTTATTAAAGTTTCTTTTATGTGAAAATAAACTTTTTCACAAAAGTTTCTTTTGTGAAGACACTTTTCATTGAAAAGTTTTCATTAAAAGTTTTATATTCAAGTAATTTCAAACTTTTATGAATAAATTAACTTTCTTGTACATTCTTACAGTTGCATGCACAGCAAAATATAGACATATGCAA